TTATCTTAACGGTGGTAGGGTCATGCTGCAGCCTCGAATGCTGCACGAAAGGGCTGGCTCATCCTGATTAGTACCACGACCTCACAGAAGACCGGCGTAAAGTGGGAGTATGATACTTTCGCGTTTTGTCTGGTGAGTGAGATAGCCGGAGCCTATTTTTAAAAAGGTTGTCAACGCATCTACAACCCTCGGGTGTAGCGGATCTCCATGGGCGATATTCACTTAACATCAGGTGAACCGTCTGCTCGCTTGGCAACTTTTCACATAAAAAAAACACAAAATGCATTAATTGAGTCTAAAAAACCGTCATAACCAGTAAACTCTCGGAAAATGTGATAACAAAATTATCATCATTGTTCCATATTAGATTTAAATGTAATTTCCACATATATGATACATAACAAAATATATATATTATGGATATGCATATGTTTTTTATATATTATGGATTACAAAATTCGCAGCCTCGTCAAGAAATGAAAATAAAATATAACAATTATTTTCCCTTTGGTATAAACACCTTTTGCCGCCAAGTGTTTATTAGATCTTTAATCCGATGTGATAAATTGTGAGTCGAATACGTTTTTTCTCAAGCAAAATTAACCTGGTCAAACGACCGGAAACTTAGAAATTGCAAGTTCATGAACTATTATGTTTTGCGTTCATTCATACAAGATGTCTATAGTTACAGCAATCTCCTTGTTAGTCAACCCTTGGTTAGACAATACAAGATTACACTTTACCGATTTTTTAGGCGAAGACGTCGTATGTCATTTGAATTCTGGCTCCCACTTTTCGCAGTGGCATACGAAGAAGCCATTAGGGATAAGGTTGTTGTCATTCCATCGTAAATCTCATTGGATATTATTTTGTAAACAAATAGGTACTTTACTAGCGTAAGTTGTTCCATTTTATAAAATAGGTGCGCTTGTCCAACTTTATTTTATTTAATACCCAATATACACAATTCACTAGTTCCTATGCCCCAACCTGTACAATTTTTTAGCGGTTCAAAGTTAGAGCTGCAGCAAGGAAGTTGGATGTCCCAAAAGTGCGGCGGTAACTACAAACCAGGACAGCTTTTGACCTTCTCCTAATCGTAAAGCTATATTTGGGTAGGTTGCGAAGCTTTGCTTCGTCACCTACAAAATTTAAATTTTAAAAAAAATTTGTTAAGGTTCTTGCCAGTTTATAGGATGTTTCAGAACTAAGTTTCACAACACTTTACAGACCATCAAAGATCCCTCTACTATAACATGGGCAAGGGCTGCTATCGCATCTTGCTACGATGGAAAGTGATTCCCTTTCAGTAACTATTCTTATTTTAGAGAATTCAAAAATATCACATGGTACCAAATCAGGGCTGCAGTGAGAACTACTGCAAGAGGGCTACCGTTTGCGCCCGAAATAATGGCATTAGTATCATTCAGATATTATGCCACAGGAAGTGCTAAGACAAACATTCCATGAAATTGCAGTTTCCTGATGTTAAGGGATGTTTAGAGTGCACCCATATTAAAATTAAGAGCTCTGGTAGAAGTTATGCAGAAGCTTATAAAAATAGAAAAGGTTGGTTTTCCATCAACGTCCAAGCAGTGATAGGCCCTGACTTACGGTTTTTATATTTGTGTGCACGCTGGCCAGGAAGTATTCATGGGCTGAAGCTTAATCAGACCAGTACGTCTTAGGTTCTAGAATAGCTCTAAAGGCTAGAATTAGGCTCTAGTGTGCGGTGAAACCGACGCCTACGGAGTCCAGGATTTTCGATTGTTTCCTCCATTCTTTAGGCTTTGGTTCATTATGAAACAACATGTTTGTATCTTGAGTGTATTGATTAATCGAAGATTCATGACCGTTAAAAAATAGCAAACTCTCAAAGAGTCTGATTCAGTTTATTAATTTTGTAACAGCATCCTTCCACGTGCAGTTGCTTCTGAGTGTCGATGAGATTGTTTGACAATCAATTGGAGTCTTCTCACCAATAATTTCTATAAAGGGCGGCCACGTTTTTCTTTATTTCTCAAAGTTAGTCAACCTTACCCAAAATTTAGAGAAACAACCTCAACGCAGAATCTGTTTTACAAGAGTGATAGATTAATAAAAGGTTTTGGCAAAAACAACAAACGATTGAGTTTAGATCAACTGTTATATAAAAAAAGTATTGTGAATACAATATTGTATATGAATTTATACGGATATAATATTCGGTATTTAGGTAAATTTGTAAACCAGAGGACGGTAGTTCAATGCACAGCAATTATTTTCTGTTGCATGATTTCACCGAACGGATTAGGGTTAATCGTCAATTTTAATTGGCAAGCCTAATATGGCTTTAAAAAAAGCTTACCTACGCTTAAGATTTAATAGAAATAGATTTAAAAGAAAGTTATTCTTCATTTTAACATACAGAATTTGAATTTTGACTGTCATAATCAAGCTGGTATTTTGTACCCAGCTTCATGTAATACTGAACCGGTGACAAATAGTTTCCATTAGTTGTATTAATTGAAATTTTATATACGTAATCATCACCAATTTTGCATATTTTAGTCCACGCTTGACATAGACCTCCCCCTAGACTGCCACTAACCACGATCCTGAGCCACTTTCATCCATCGACGTCCGCATATTTACATAGGTCGTCACTCCTTCGATTTTTATATGAAAAGGAGGCAAACGAGCAGGTGGTCCACCTGATGGTAAGTGCTCACAAGTAACTCAACACTTGCGTAGTCACAAATACCTTATCCACGATCCATGAGCCCAAAGTGACAGTTTCATCCGTAACTTAGTTTGAGACCTATTTGGCGAGAATCTTTCGAGAATCTTTCTTCCCCATCACTCAACCAACAGTTCTATGTGCTATATGGACAGCCCATTGCCACTTTAGCTTACCAAATGTATACAACAACAAACAAGTCTTAATTGTTTGGCTTATGTAAACTTCTTAATAGAGCTTCAAAACTGCTCCTGCGAAGATGACCTGATGACGAATCATTTATGGGTAGTAAATCATCGTTTACCTTTTCTGGTGAATCGTTGTACAGCGTAATACGAAAAGTAGTTAGATTTAACTACCTATATCATTTATGTTTATTATAATTAATACCTTCTAATTCAAAACGATAATGAAAAGCAGTGGTGGAATTAAAAGCGGAAGCCAAATACGGATATAAGATTCGGTAGGAACGTACAATAAATTGGTTTTAATATAAATCCTAAAAGTACCACGCAGACTCGTCGATACGAACGGTTGGATGCGCTGCCGTGGCGAGCAATCAATGTATTTTTATATTAGAAATTTTCAATGCAAAAATATCTCAGTAAAATGTAATAAAGTAAATCCATAATCCGCTTTTATGATTTTATCTTTGTTAGTCATTTTAGGAGAAAATATTATTTTTAAAATGTTGAACCTTATACAGTTTTATGGTGAATTAAAGTTTTTATTTTTCTAATATTTACAAGATTAAATCTATCTAAAATTACATTTACATATTATCTAATAAACCTAATACACGCGGCATGGTGCCAAGAACGCTAGCTGCATTTCCTCGTAATTCTATTATATATAAATAAAGAGTAGGATACAAATAAAGAGCCTTTTCTAGCGGCGGCATTTCAAATAAAAAATTTAAAATAAAAGAACACTTATTGTGGCATAAATATAATAGTCAGACATATGCTGTCGCGACACTTTTTGTAAATAATGATGTGTTCTGCAAATTCGTTTTATATTATTTTATTCTATCAGTAATAGTCTTGGCAGCACAGGTGATGTAAAGAATATTTTAGTTACCTAATTTTTGTTCACTTTGGGTTACATTATTGAAGTTTTAGTAAGGATCCCTAGTTTCTTTGAAAATATAGCTTGTCATCCGGGGATAATGTAGCTTCCCAACAGTGAAAGAAATTTTCAAATTGGTTCAGTAGTTTCGGAGCCTATTCAATGCATACAAACAATCAAATCTTTCCTCTTACATACTAGGCGGAGTGGGTAGTGTTGGTGTTGGCCGTTCTATCTTTAGGCAATCGGAGAGAAACCATTATAGTAATAACTAAATTAAATTCTTTAAGTGCTTAAACGTTAAGTTTACTTACGGCACGTACGTACGTAATTTTGTATAAATTAAATTACGTGTATCTGTGCCCAAAAGTGATTAAATATCCTACACAGAAAACAATTTGCAATCAATCATTTCGCAATTAGATATTTTTTGTTTGGAATATAGAGTAAAAGTGAAGCATATGATTAAATAAGTTACATATAATTCCATTGTTTTAGCCTCCTTGTAAACTAAATCTTCTAGAAATCTATAAGCGTAAATGAGCGAAATAAAGACGAGATAGAATGATAAATAAGACGTCGGTGACTACTCTCACGTACATCCTTGGATATGCTTGGTTTTGACTTGCAGTGCCCTTAAACGGAACTTTAACAGCGGAAATTGGAATATCACAAGGCAAAACTTCGTTTGTGTGACCTGACGTTGAGAAACTAAACTAAATTGCTAATTCAAAATAACTCGGAACCATTGCCGATGTCATTATTATGCGTCTCTTAGTTACGTGTTATAAACGGTCTACGGCGTCGTTGGCTTAGTTTTATTAGCCTGTAAAATTATGAAGCGTTAAAGCTATCTTATCTGATATGTTACCATCTATAAATTGTCGGCATGTTGCGGCCTAGAACAAAACAATATTGGAAACTCTCTACGCGCAAATCTAAAGTTCCATTTTCTTATCGAATTTGCCATTTACAATCGCGTATATTTTAGCGTCTAATCAACAACGCAAAGTAGTGAGAGTATAGGTTATTGTATTTATAATTGTCTCAATTCATTAGCGTTAATAAGTTTTGTTGGTTTTACAGAGAAAAAAAAAACATTAAATGTTACCAGTTTTATGTGCGAGAAAAAGTTTTACTTGGGCCATTTTTGAAATTAATAATGAAAATGCAATTTTGGTTGACTTGTTAAAAGGTAGGATGAAGAAAAAGAATGATTCAGATTTTGCTGATTATTGATCGTAAGTATACCTCCTAGTGCGTTATGAGAATCTTTTGAAAGAAATATTGTGGAAGTTATCCGAATGTAATATTATTTATTTTCTATGGTGACTTTAACGTAAATCTATTAGAAAAATTTGTCTGTAATACTTGCCGCTTTTAAATTATAAAAAAATAATGTTGTTTTTCTGTAAAAAGAACTTGTATTGAAAAGTTTAGATGAAGTAATATAACAAAATAACGAACACATTTACCTTATAATGACAGTTCCGATGTGCTTTACAACACATTATTTAAATTAATTAAAACGGAATTCAATACAATATTTACTTCTAAGACAGTCAATCGAAAAAGCTCAATAGTTTTAAATGATGGGCAACAGTCGGAATTTATAAGAGTAGACGTAGATTATATGAACTTTATTGTGAAAAGACATACAATCATTACTCAAAAACATTTAAAAAAGTTTGATATTTGGCTAAATCAATATGTATTAAGAATAAATTAAAAAGTGCATCTGCTGAAATAAGAATTACGTGAAAGATAATTAATAGCGAAACGGAAAAATTCACACAGCGCCCTCTGATATAATAACTGATGGTAATAATACTATGAAATCTAATTAGGAGATTGCTACATTTTTCGAAATCTTTTTAATATATTTTTTACAGTTTCAACAACCAAATCACTTTTCTCTTCTCCAACAGTTGCTGAATCAACTCACAATATATCTCAATTGCTAAATTCTGTATATTGCACAAACATGTTTGAATTTGAATTTGAATCGGTACATACTTTACAATGTTATATATATGTCCATAAAAATAAGGATGATTTTTTAAGATATAGTGATATGCATGATATAAATACCGTCATCTAGATTTCGTAGAATAAGTAAATATTTTATGAGACATAAGTTTTTACAACAAAATCAGAGCCGTGATTGCTCAGTGTCCGGTCGCTCGCCTTTAATTCAATATACTCGAGCAACCTCAGTTCGATCCCCGGTGCCGGCACCAATGACAATGTTAATTTCAAGTGCTGAATTATCACGTTACGCTCAGCAGTGAAGGAAAACATCGTGAGGAAACCTGCATATTTTCGAAATAATAATAAAAAAAATATTTCGAAGATATGCGAAGTCCGCCAATCTGTTTTTCATGTTGAGGCTACTTTACTTTTGAGGATACTTTATTTTTTCTTTACTTACAACAAACTGTCAGAAAACGTTAAAAATGAATCAGTTGCTAAATTCAAAAGTGTTTTTTTTTATGTTAGAAGGTGGCAAGCGAAGCTGGTGGTTCACCTGATGTTAAGTGATAACCGCTACCCATGGACATTTAGAATAGCCGTAGGGTTGTAGTTATGTTGCAACCTTTTAATAAAGTGGGCCACGGCTATATCACTCACTAGACGAAACGCAGAAGTATATCATTTGCAATTAACGCCCGTCTTCTGTGGTACTTCCCCAGACGGACCTGCAAGAGCGAACTGTTACGTGGCCCTACCGCAGACGAGTGTTTGAGGCTATTATAATATTAGTGATTATTTAAACGACAACACACGGGAAATTAATCGATCGCTCCAGGCTCTTTCAACTGAAAGTTAATATATTGTAAACATGTTTTTTGGTCACATTATGTTGTCACGAGACCATGCAACTATACTCGAGCAACCTTATTTCAAATTCCGTTCTTCACCGCCAGAGTGAAAGTTTGCACATTCGCGTTTCGTCTGGTGAGTGAGGTAGCCGGAGCCTACTTTTTAATAGTAATACGCCTATAATCCTTCAGGAAGTGTAGATGTCCACAGACAGTGGTAATCACTTAACATCAGATAAGCCTGCTCGCATGCTAACTTAAACAAAATTTATTTTTTGTATTATATCTGCACAAAAGTTTAAACTACTCGAAGGTCTGCAAGTATATGTATAGTATTGGATGTACATGTAGAAATCTAGGGATTAAGTGTGTTAAAATATTTGCAAACCTTAAATATAGGGTCCAATCCCACAAGTCCATTAATTCGATCAAAAGCACGGTAAAATAATTTGGGGTTGGAACATTTAAAATACAAGTGCTTATAATATAAGCCATTTCCATCCCATATTTAATGCATGGGCGCAAACGAAAGCGAAACACTGACCGGTCACTGGGTTAACTAAAAACAGATCTCTAATTGTGAGAGGTTTATTCGTGAAATATATAAGGTAAAATGCTATAGTATAACTGAAAAAATTCTGACAACTGTTGTCGATTGAGTAATTGATATATATAAATTATTTTTTCTGAAGAAAAAAATAGTTTCCACGTGGAATATTGATGTACTGGTTATATTATCAAACAATTGACGAAAAAAAGGTGCAATGTGATCATATTCAAGATAGGTATATCAAGCAAATGATTAAAAAAAACAAGTAATATGATGCTGGCGTTGGTGTGTATTATATATCACTGCAATTTAAATAGCGTACAGACAATAGCATTTTAAAGGCTTATATGAAAAACTAGCTAAACTCGGCCACGCTGGGACTTTTTTTTCGTTTCCGTTGAAACTTCGGAATTAAAAGACTCTTTTCTGTTCGATAGCTATATTGTGAACAAATACGAAGTCAACTCAGATTTAAGATTTGCAAGCAACTGTTTAGCTTAGTGGCTAAAGCTGCGATAGCCGCAGACGTGGGTTCGATTCCCACAAGGGCGACAATCTTTTCGTACTTTTTCTTCGTTCGTGTTTAATCTTAATTGCAGAGATTAGCACTATAAAAAATTTAAATTAATTATAGTGCTAATCTCTGAAATTATTTTTAACATAGCTTAACATTCCAGTTTCGTTAAGAAAAAAAAATCCCATATTCAAATGAACTAAATTCATTCATCATTCGGAAGTCTTGTGACAGCCATTTACTAGAATTTCTTCTAATGAGATCTCGTTCCGGCAAACGGCTGAATCCAATTCAAAATTGTAATAATATAGCTGGAAACGTTTAAAATTTACAGACAATTAGGTACTTTGTGTTTGCGACTAAAGTGTAAATGCAGAAAGTAACAGGTGTTTTTATGACTATAATTAATTATGATCATAATAGTTTTGTATTTGAAGGTACACAAGCAAGATTCCATTTTGTTTCGACACAGAACGGAAAACTTAACTTGGAAATCTTAACCTTCCTATTGTGAATTTAATTAAATTTGCAAATTAAAATCGTTTTCGTAGGTACTTTTAATAAAGTTAAACTTTATTAGTTAAATACACCAAGCTATCATAAATACGATAAGAGCGACGATGACATGATGATGCATAATGACGATGAGAGCTTAAATATTTATACGTTGTTGATTTTATCCCGTTTACTTTTTATGGCAACAGTGGCTAATATCTCTGTCCTTCATCTCGTGTCTCGTAACATAATTATTCGTAATAGGTAAAAAATCATCATAGTACCACTGTATTAGTAATTTTATGATGTGTCTATATCCAAGATGAAAATAATCACATCAGCTGTGTATACAATGACTTATAATATATTATTTAATTACGTAAAAAAAGTAATTCAAGGCAAAATTACGGAACTGAAAAACTTGTCCTTGTGTTATTTCTACATTTCTTTTGAACGGTTAATATTATAATGTTCATCTTAGGCACATAAGTTATCTTGCTTATCTTGAAGCAAAATAAAATAAATATTCTCATGGAAACTTCCTACACATTGTTTAGTTTGCCAATATCAGAAAACTTTTATGCAATTTGTTTCCTCCATGTATGTGTAATAACAAGGCGCTTCGAGACTTTATTATTTTGCATCGTACACATGCTTCCGTCAGTCTTCTAGAAAATGAAGTTTTGATATGAATCTCGCCGTGAAAAGAAAATCATGTTTTAAGGGAGCAGGCGGTATACCCGAATACTAAGTAATACCACCGCCCATCGACATCTAAAATACTTGATAAAATACTTCTGCGTCTCTTCTAGAGTTAGGTAGCCGGACCCACTTTATTAAAAGGTGCCAACGCATCTGCAACCCTAAATGTGTTGCAAATGTCCATGGGCGGCAATTATTACTTAACATTGGATGAACCATCGGCTCGCTTGCCACTTTCTCGCATAAGAAAAATCTTGACATCTATCTATGTTCATTCTATGGCTTTTTTAGCAATGCTCGGCCTCGTCATGGATAAATTCATATAAAGACCAAGAATATTTTACGAATACTTTTTAATAATTTTACGAATACTTCTCACCAATATCATGTGCTAATAAATGAAACTACAAAATATCTTATCCATTTTGGAATCAAAGAAAAAAAACGGTGCAGGTAACGAGAAGCAGACGCAGGAGTAAAACATGTTTGCATGCGTGGAATTGAAAGTAATGTAAATAAGATGTATATATGTCCTAAAGATAAGGATTTTCGGTTCGATTTTGTGTTATTAATTTGAACTTGGTTAAAAAAATTAAACAAATAAAATACTGTAGCAAAATCTTTCAGTAAAGGTTCAGCTCAAATATTTCATTGTTAACAGGTAAGCCGTCTAGACAATAGAACTACATACTATATTCATCTCGTTCTGTAACTAAATCTATGACAAACACCGAAGAAAATTTAATACGTTTGCAGTTAACTGTGGTAGGGCCAAGCCTAGGGTATTGCTAATGGTCATGGGCGGTGGTTATCACTTGACATCAGTGAACCGCCAGCTTGTTTGACTATTTATCACAAGCGAGGTTTTAGATTAGAAATTCACCCATGATGGAACATTAACAATTAAAACTAATTACAAGAAATTATTATTTTACTAAACGGTATTTAAATAATACAAAATGCGACATTAATTTGATACGTATTTATGATTCTTTAATTGTAAATCATCAAGTAAAAAACCTTGAAATTGATACGTATACCTTTTGATTAAGATCATTATCATTGTTATCAAACATTTTAATCGCAATTGTTTGTTAGAAGGCATATAAAGACTACAACAATTTAGCCTAAAGTATTTTTTTTAAATATCGTTTCTAAAGGTAAAAACGTCTGTTTATATTTAATACACATTTACTATTCTATGTTGTATAGAAAAGTCAAGCTTGCTATTCATTTAGGGCGTAATGGTTGCCACGTGTGATGATGTTATTTGTGAATTTTCCTTTTTTTACTGTGTTTTTTTCTCTTCCTATGATCATTGTCTCAATTGGTATCTTGTTATAATGACAATACTAACCTTTGGGATCAAATAAGTGTTAGTTTTTTAGTGCCAAAAGTCTTGTCTTCTTATTAATATTTTACTTTTTGTGTGAGAATTTATTATTGAATATGAATATAACACTAAAAATAATAGTTATTTAAAATCAATCGATATTTTTTTTTTTCATTTGAGTAATATTGAAAGAATTAAACTCAAAACCATTACAGTTGTACTTTACTACATAAAACTTATAGTACTTATAGTTTTATGAAGAGAGAATTTGAAGAGTGCTTAACTGCTAATACCGATGGTTCAAGTTTAAGCGATTTCCTCACCGTAAGCAATTTCGTTGCATCGCTTGAGCAGCGTTCCTCTAGAACACCTACTTATGAATTAATAATATGGTTGCTTCGATTACTAATATTATTATATACTCATTTGTTACTCTTTGTTACAGTATTTAACTGAGAGTAACATGGGATCATTTTATAATAATGTAGATTAAAGTAATTTGAATTCAATGTCACTTTATTCATCAAGGTCAAAATTTAAAACAAGGAACAATGTAAGAGGATACGAGGAAGTCTCAGAAATTTTTGAGAAAAAAAAATTAAACTTGAAACTCAATGTTTTTATAATTTTGGAGAATATTTGATACCAAAACATTTTTAAGGATACCCCTAAGAGTTTAAGGATGCGTTTAGACGCTGAAGGTAACAGTAAACACTTCTGCTAACATTAGGTACTTTTCTTTCTATTCTACGATTGGTATTCTTGCAATTTCGTCATGAAATTGATACGTCATTGTTATGTAAAAAATTGTGATCTAAATTTCCCCTACGCTTCCCTATAGCTTTACATCGGGCATTAGTTCATTTTGATACAGCTTTGGTACTTAGTTTTTGTATCGTACTAGATTTATTCAGCCAGGTTTTGCAGTCTTAGTTTGACGTACAATGAATAATGGAAAAGTGAATACATATCTAACACAAAAAATTTGGCGGTAGTAATTACTCGAAGTCAGACCCACTTCTATGAAAATTAGTTGTAATTAATTAAAACAGTCTGTCCCGTCACTGACCCCTAATTGGAAAAAGTTAAGTTTTTAATAATGGTTACTTACGTAAATATAAAAAATCATCATAACAACCATTTTACTGTTGTGTCGATTACATTCATATCGACAGGGCGGTATTATTATAATAAATTAAATTCGCCCCTTCATTGTAAGAACTACGAACACTGATACAACTCTCTTTGTTAAAATATTGACAGTTTTGACAGACAACAAAAAGCGCATACGAGTTAAAGGTAGTTCAATTTTTAGATTAGTTATTAATATAAAAAGCTCGATCATTTATATCTCAGCGACATTTCACGACGTTCTGTAAAAGTACAAATTTCAAAGTTCTATGACTGTAAAAATTTAAGTGAATTAGAAAGAGTGACGGGCGATAATAAAAACTGCTGTTAGAAATAAATAGTCTTTGCCTTTGTAACTGGTGCAAATTATGCACGGTATAGATTCAACATTTACAACGAAATATTCGTAAATTGAAACTGAAATTTAAGAATTGCAACTCAACTCATGAAATTCAGTGGCATAAATTTCTTTAATCCCGAGACTCGTTTTAAATGCAGTAAACACCTCTTGAAGACAAGCAATGTTCCACAGCGCATGTTATTAAATTTAATAGACTCTTACCGTACAATCCTCGGCTCGGCGTTTAAGCCTAATTAACTCTAAAGTAGTTCAGTTAAACATTCATTTCAAGGCGTCGTACAATTTCCAACTTAGATATTATTAAATACAATATATTTTGAATTAATCGTTGTTAGTGTTAATGCATGGAGATAGGAAAATGCTGGTTATAAATGCTGTGCCAAAAATAATTTTTAAAACAAGATCACAATTTACGGACAATTAACTAAATTGTTCCGAAAAGTGTGTTGTTCTTACTATTTGCAAATAATAATTTATAACTTAAAGTAAAGACAGCACATTCCTCGTTCAAGTGGTTAGGCAGTAATGCTTTTTTAAACTCGAATAAAATTCTATTTAAATAATGCGATAAAGATGACAAATTTCATAACAACAGTAAGTCCCAAATTTATATACAAAGGTGTCTTAAATTCATGTATTAACAAACACGACTTTTTAAGAATAAACTAATTTCAAAATATAAATTGAGACTAAAGCGTAATACGGAAAACATAAAAATGCAAGTTCTTAACTTGCAAATACAGGGATTACCGAGCCAACGTTGTGGGGTCTTAGAAGTCGTACCATTTCTTAGAGACAGTAAGTAATCCTTCTTTAGTGCAAACTTCAAATTGAAAGCAACTTTTATATGTATTAAATGTAATAGCGTTATAAATAAAACTAATTTTCAAAAAAAAATGTAAAAATTAGTTTCATTTATAACGTGTAATCGTGTAAATACAAGAAATTATCAGATATAGCCTTTCATAAAGATTACGTTCTACATTTGACATTTATACAAACAGAATATGATTAAGGGTGTATTTGTGTTTTAGAAATAGAGCTTCGTTTTTATCCGTTTGACGAAGGAGGATAACGTCTTTCGAGGTTGAATCTGTATGATGTATGTACAAAATTTTGACGAACTTCTACATATGGAGAGACATAGCTAAATCTACTGTTGATGGGATAGCATAATAATGAAGTATACAGTTTACCTTCATTTGTACTTCATTATTCATTATAATAGGCATTATCTGAGAAACTGTTTGGTTCAAATAGGGTGATAGGAGTTATATTAAAAGTTTTAAGCATAAATCATAAAAATAATAATTCTGCATCAGGTAGGTAAGAAATTATGAAGGACGCGTATGTTAAATTCGGCGTGAAGGTACACTTAAAATATTTGATGTCATTGACATAAGCTAGTCGATGTAGACAAAAAATAAGAGTAATCCAAATTAAGAGCATACCGATCGATGTATAGGTAGTCAGTGAAGTAAATTTCAAACAAGAATCTTTTTTTAAAATTTAATAATAGAATATTTTTATGCCTTAAAACAGTTTGAATGTGGTGCAAATTCAAAAATCATGTGTTATTTCTATTTCATGGCTTGTATACTAGCTGATTTTTTTCCATTTCAGTACATAACAATACTCTTTGTGAGACTAAAATATGAGCTAAAACTACATGAATATAATGCACGGGAATTTTACACATTTCAAAAATAAGTATGTCTTTAGTTGAAAAATGTGTCATGATATCAAAATGATTTATCGAGTCATGTGGAACTCAATGCCATCTTTTACGGAAATGTTGGCCACGCATGAATGTAAATAAAATTTAACCCAAAGCATACCAATTAACTTATCGTGTATGCACATTTCTGTCGTTCATGAAAATGTTTATTACTATTAATATTTATAATAATAAACTTAAACAGAATATAACTCTGCCCATAAACCGAGAACACACTTTATTATTAACCAGTGGTCAGACACTTCAACACGAAACAGTGATCATTATATTATTTAAAAGATGTCATTTCGTCGAAGTTTATTCATTTCCTTAATTGTTTATACAGGTGTTTATGCGATAGAACAGAATATGTGTAAGTAGAATTAGGTAATATAATTTGTACGTAGTCGATATTTGTTTTTTATTGAACTGTTCGTTTCCAGATACTGTCAATTCTAAATATTTGGTAGAGGATGAATATTTATGGTACACTGATGATTACGATCTTTTCAATTACCTACAAAAGGTAACGCTTTTTTTTAAATTTAATAGACAGAATCGTATTTTAAAAGAAGCATATTTTATTTCACTATTATAAATAATCTCTAGTTAATAATAGTTCTTAATTAATAAATAATTTTCCAGGCTAAAACAGGTCCAACCAACAAAGTATCCATACAGTTGTACTATGAATCATTGTGTACGGGTTGCATAGAATTTATTACGGAAAATTTTACAACTGTGGTGGAAAGATTGAATTCGTATTTAACATTCCAAACCTACCCTTACGGAAACGCGAAGGTAAAGTGACTCTGAAATTTACGTGTAAACACAAATTAATACTAACTGATGTATTATCAATGACCCTCGCGAAATTTTCACTCAGTTTAATGATTCGTTACCGATTAGTAATTTAATAACGTGTTAAGTACTTAAAAATTAAAGGTTCTAAGGTACTGTTGGCGCCTGCAACACTGTATACCGGATAAGACTCGAGCGAAGGGAGGTGACACATGCTCGTGTGGAGTAGCGGTGACTTGCTTGTCCGGTGCCACTAGTGCTGCTTGTCGTTAGAATAGTTGTTAATATTCAAGTTCAGAAATAGTTAAAATATTACAATGAAAGTAATAACGTTAGAACTTTTATAGTACTTTGAAGAATAACGTTTTTCAATCTACTTCGCTATCTTTCATTTCAACAAATTGTCAAAAGATGGCATTATCATACATTCTTTATAAGACATATTAAACTAAAGAGTACCTATGTAGGATTTGAATCATTAATTGATTTTTGAATCATTGTAGGATTTGAATCATTAATTTGATGAAGTATTTCTATAATGCTTATACGTATAACTTCTAAGTTAGGACTTACCGACAAAAAAAGAAACTTGAGAAATAATTTATAGAGATTGTCAAATAAACCTAATTATTGTATTCACATTGATAAAGAAGTCGTGACAACCTTAATGAATACAATTCTCAACATAAAATCAAGCAAGAGTTCTGTGCATGACGCCGAATAATATAAAAATCAAAGACATTTAAACTATTAGCACGATATTACTTTTTATTTGAATCTCTTTGACAAAAGCAAATCTTCTGATAGCCCATAGTCGCATTACACGCGTCTTTATCTTGGGAATAGTATTTTGTAAAACTCAGGATTATGTTTATGAATTATATACAGTTTTAAAAGTTCCCATCATGATTTAAATCTGTTTCATTGTATCAGTGTCCTTCGTATTACACGACAGTACAGTATAAGGAAAGCTTTGGAAATTGCATTAAGTTAAAATGGTACAATCTATAATTTTAAATCCCTCACAATATTATAGATAAAAGATCTCGTGTTTTTCAGACGTTTCGGCGTAACGGACGGTACGAATTTAAATGCCAGCACGGACTGAAGGAATGCTATGGAAACAAATTACACGCATGTGCGATAGATCTTTTGCAGAATGTAACACAAGCAGTAATATTCAATTCGTGCATGATGGAGCCCAAAGAGGGAAAACGCGGTTCAAATGACTACGCAGCTGACGCAGTAAGCATATTACATTGAACCCTAACTTGAAAGTAGTCCTCACAGAAGATCGGGGTGAAGTGGAAGTGTTTTACTTCTGCGTTTCGTCTGGTGAGTGAGGTAGCCGGGGCCCACTTTTATTATAAGATGGCAACGCAACTACAAACCTGAGGGTGTTGCAAATGTCAATGCGCGGCGGATGTCACTTAACGTCACGTGAAGCGCAAGCTCGCTTACCACCTTTTCATGGACTGCTTATAAAGTTTTTATTACAGTTACAAATTTTAAAAAGGTTTGAAAATACTTGTTAGTCATGAACTTAGACTGCGTGCTCTTCGATGATTCATTATTTTGGCACGGAGTCCGTAGTCCTGGTTTCACATTAGATCCAGTTCCAAACCGAATCAGTAATATCGTTATAAAGTTCACCTATGTTATTGAGAAACTAGTTTAAATTGAAGTCTCGAGAGCACTTCCCAATGTCATCTGCAATGTTTGGTGAAAACATAAATCGCCAACATTTTACAAAGCTAACGTTTCCTTTACTAATAGCCGTCAAATAGCGGCCACTCTTACTTCATTTTCCAGAGTGTGTGATACCATTAAGTGATACCAGCGCAATATAATTATAGATTGGTATCATATACAAAAATCCTTAATGCGGGAAACCGAGTCATGAACGCCATTGCGAAGCGGGTGTGATCCCAAATCATGGATCCTAATCCCTACTAACCGATCCAAAATATCTTTATTTAGCTTTATACATTTTATTACATTTCAGTGTGCCAAAAAACATGATGTCGATGCGGCTCCAATAAAAGAATGTGCAAAGGGAGACAAAGGAAGTGAACTTTTGAAATACTACGGTGACGAAACTAAAAGGGCAAACGTTAGCTATGTACCGTACGTTTTAATAAATGGTAAACCCAACGATGGGGTTAATTTTTTGAATGACGTCTGTGCGGCATTTATTCGTCCACCTCCTCCGTGCCGAAAATTAATAAGAGAGCAAAAGTGATACAAAGATGTACTTATGTAATATGTATGCGATATAGTACTTGGTTCATTACAAAAAATAATCAACATGATTCTTTAATTAAGTTGATTAATTTTAATATTAAATTTAATGGCAGTAATATTAAAATCGTAATCATATTGTATTTTTTTTTATTTTTCCTTATAATTCCTCACAAACATAACAAACACACGATCAAGTATAGTTAAGATAAGAACTGTATAATTTTGAAAAAAATACTACTATAATCAAATCAAATCAAAATCAAATGAAATCAAAAATATATTTATTCATATAGACGCTTGCGCCTTCTTATGAATCGTCAAATTTTACATCAAAAATTATATATATAGGTTCGTAAGATTCCACCGGTTCGGAGAGCAGTTTCTGTTGAGAAGAGACCGGCAAGAAACTCAACGCAATAATAATATGATTAAAGTTAATAATTAATTTTATTATTTAGATAAAGTAAAGAGTCGAAAATAAGTCTAGTTTCTACACCTATATCCGAGATAATTAAAAGTTCCAAGCAAAGTTCTATACATCCGCTATTAAATCGTCCTACTTTGATAGTTCCATTTCAGTCAAATTAAAGAAAAAAAGTATGTAATTTCTGACGGATAAAGTATAAAAATATTCGTGCTACCTAAATAATTGGGTGTGTCTGGTGTCGAAATATCAGTTATTAACCAAATTTCATTATGAATCTTTGATGAAACTAGACAAAAATTATTAAAAGCTTCATGTTGGCACATCAGAAACCAATCCATGTTCAGGCAGCGCTAGGTTAGTGAACCGGTGGTGGTTTTTTGAAGTTCAAAAAGAGCTTAAAATGACCCTTTATTGAATAATTAAATTGTGATTTTAAGTTTGACTTTGAATTGAATTAGTACATCCATGCGAATTATAATGTCTTGTAGTATTTGCAATATGTTTACAGTGGAGAAGAATAATAATTTTATCAATTGTTACTCTTTGAACCTGTTATTTTCCATGTATATTATAAGTGTATGCATTGCTCGTTAAGGTGGCACCTCTGACTCAACTAGTAAACGTTTTTTGTTAGTGTTATTCTCTGTTCCCGTGAATATATATTAGGTAATAGTATGCAACAGCATAAATCGAACACAAACGGCAAGTAATGCATAATATCTTGAAATCACCTATAAATAAAAGCAACATTAGAGTATAAAAAATAAGGTTCAGTAGGTATCGTATGGGGTAGCAATAAAACCAGCAGATACTAAAGAATATATGTCCACTGAGAACACAGATAACAAAAAATGTTAGCTGTTTATTATATTTAACTCCAATTTTTATTTTGTCATCATCATTATAATTTTTTTTCCTGTTTTAATTGATATTTTTCAGAATTTCACTATCATATTTCTTTTATATGTTATTTTCACTTATATAGAATTCCATTATTAATAAGGCGAGCACTCAGCGCGGCAGTTAGGAAGCGGAGTTAGGAACCTTCCCAAAATGCATGCCGTTCCTGTTATCAACCTATTATGTTATCATCCATCAATAAAATCATCAATTAATAAGATATTCATGGTGCCATATTGGTCGCAATCAAACGTCACGTGAAGCCAACAGCACCGTGTGGTAAGAGTCGAGTATTAGTATCTACCGAAACAAAGTTGAAATCGGTTAGTTTTTTTAGAAAAAGACCCTGAAATCTATGTGCATGCCGCTGGAAATACCTTCGCATACCCACCCTCATGGGGATAGGGGCGGGCTATGTCCGCTTCACACTGACCAAAAACCCACGATATTTGCCACCTAGGGCACTTTTTGAAAGCGTACTTCCTACTAAGGTAACGCTTTCGCATACTTCCGCGACTCTGCTGGCTGGCCCACAGGCTGCAACCCCCTATCCTCCAGGTACGCCGCGCTGGTCGCTCCAAGTTAGCTCAATGAGGCCACTTGAATCGGCCCTCTCAGATCGGCCTTGCAAAGACCGGGTGGGTGGGGAAAAAAGAGTGGGTTCCCTTGGCCTTGCCGTGGTTGGTGACCAAGCTACAGCTACTAATCCCCTTCATCACGTCAAGCCGGGAGTGGAGGGTGATTTACCTTAGCGTTATGTTCTGGCGTGCTCGGATCAGTGGCTGTGGCGTTATGACGTGTGTAGTGTATTACTAAAGTCTTTTCGGGGTTAACGTTGATTCTATAATGGCGAAATATCACCAAGGCGATTAGAAGAGTACATAATAAAGTTCGCAGTACATAATAATGGCAGAGCCGAAAGGGGCAGAGGCAAGAAACTTGTGGAAGGCCTGCAGTGAGAGGGCAGCTTGTGCATAGATTACCCTTGGCACGGTATCAATAAGAGTGATTTAAGAGAAATGCTTTGAATGTGTGCACGGTATGTCTAATGTGTTGAGTGCGTACATCTTATTCAGCAAACCGTTGCGTCAGATTTTGCCAAAGGCCGTTGTGATATTGAAGAAGATCGCACTCGTCCTTATGTGTTTGGAGTCGTATGTACTCGATCAAACCATAGATCTTTAGGTGCTAGTCATTGTTAAAAATGTTATAAATAGAGTAGATAGATGGCCAGGTTTTATCACTGTGAGGTTGTCTGCCGCTTAGTTTAGTTGGTAAAGCCTCTGAGCGCGTTACCAGGCAGGCCACCTCCGGTGGCGACCAACAAGCCCAAGGAAAGGTGCCGGCTCTGCAAAACACTAGGGGTAGCACAGACCAAGACCACGACGTGTTAGGGTTGACAAAGTCGATGCTGAATTGAAGTTCGTTGCTCGCCCTCTTTTTTTAATAGTATGATGTGTGCTTTGCCCACTGAATATTCCACACGTACATTATACTCTATACCAAAGTAGTCTGTGGTGTGCAATGTCACCTTTTTCAGTACAATGCCATCAATAGTTCTAAAATTAATAAAAATAAATAGTTTATATTCATTTTCGAGGGTTGAAATTGGGCAAATCGTTTTCTTATATTAATAGGAACCTACAATAAAAATTACAATAGCCTAGGTTATGTACAGATGTAAGTGACTAGCCATCATTCGTGACTTTATAACAGTGAATTTAGTTATTATTGAAAAATGATTCACGCCATCGAATTGATTTGTACAGTACGTGAAAAAACCTTAATGCGGAACATTTCCCTTAATGAATGTGAATAGGGTTTAAACCAAAGAATGTTTGATTTATTTTACATACACATTGCCGTCGCTCGTGAGCACATTCATTAGTATAACTCATACGTTAACTGATAGCACACTTTATTATTTACCCGTGAGCCCACGCGTCAAGAAGATTTAATTATCATATTATTTAAAAATGCTTCTTTGCCTACGTTCTTTAATATATTGCATTGTTGTCACTGGCGTTTGTGCCCTGGAACATAATATATGTAAGTATACTTGATAACACTTCTTTGAAGTCTACATTGGTTAACTACGAGTACGCTATTGTTTGCAGATATTATAAATTCTAATTATTTGACAAGAAGTGAAGATTTAATTCAAACGAAAGATTTAGATCTTGACAATTTCCTACAAGAGGTAACGCCTTTTTCAATTCCAAAGATATTACGTATTATCTAATATTTTAAATTGATATCTAACAACCAATTTTTCAGTTTTGTATTCAAACTAACTATTTAAAGTGATCAAGAATATGAATATTTATATTAAGGTAGTATCATTTTTCCTTAATTTCTAGGCTGACCCAGATCACACTGAGAAAGTATCAATACAATTGTACTATGAAACCTTATGTCCAGACTGCATACAATTCGTCATTAGGAAATTTACTCCTGTGGTACAAAGCTTGAGCCCGTATTTAAATATTCAAATCTACCCGTACGGAAAAGCGAAGGTAATGTGATAATTAAATTTAGATAAAAGCATATCAAAATATAAAAAAAAATCGAGGCATCCACTAATAAATTAAAAATCAAAATGTATGATGCAATAATTTATTGATAAATTTTATCGAAAAAAACTTAAAATTCCGATCGATTTAAGTATGGTTATTTTAGTGAAGTAGTTATTAAAATCTTAATAAAAACGATAGTAAATCTTAATAAGAGTACGCAAAAGTAGTCGTAATCACGTTACTAGAATGCAAAAATAAAACTTTTGATAACCCTTGGCCATTCGATACAACCACGGGTGTATCTTTGGAATGTTAAATTATCGTATTAACAATTCTATTTTTGAATAATGTAATATTCTGTGTAAACCATTTATTTCATTTTATTTATGATAAACTTTTGGATGTTGTGTTGTGTCATGGAGTATTTCTCTCTTACATTTTTATTTACAACAAATATTAAAACAGCAAGTCTAGTTTGGTGTGGTTATAAAAGAACATATTTCTTTAATATTAAATTTGGAATTTGAATATTAAAGTGCTTAATCACAAATTTCACACACGAATGTACCAAATGTCTCATAATTTCATCAGACGTTTGGACGTAACGGACGGTACGAATTTAAATGCCAACACGGCCCTGAAGAATGCTATGGAAACAAATTGCACGCCTGTGCGATAGACTTTTTGCAGAATATGACTCAAGCAGTATTCTTCAATGCGTGCATGTTGGAGCCAAGAAACGGAAAACACGGCTCCAACGATAAGGCAGCCGAAGCGGTAAGCAGTTTGTAAAAAAGATTTAACGAAACATAGAGAGATGCGTCCAACAGTATCAGCCTAGCCGCCGTCCACTGCTGAACGTAAGCCAAGTGCACCAACTATCCAAAGAGATGCGTCAATGTATTACAAATTTGCAACACCCGTAGGGTTGCAGATATGATGCCACCTTTTAATTAAGTGGGCCCCGGCTAGTATTACACTTCCACTTTACCAATGATTGCTACATGGCACTGGAAATCTAATGCGACCTTAACCTTCCTTATAATGTCAATACTGACTTAGTCTTAGGTCCGTTTTCACCATCGATCCCTTTAATTTTCCCTAAAAGTGCGGTACGGAGCAAAATGTTGATGCAACTCCAATAAAACTATGCGCGAAGGGAGACAAGGGAAGTCGGCTTTTGAAGTACTACGGAGACGAAAGTAAAAAGGCAAACTTTAACTACGTCCCGTACACCTTGATTAATGGTAATATTAAAGACGGCGATAACTTTCTGAATGACGTCTGTGCAGCGTTTAAAAATGCCCCGCCTCCGTGCCGTAAATTAATAAAAGAAGAACACAGCTACAAAGTTGTGACATGGTAAGATTCATCAGAGTAATAATAAAATTGTAATCATATAGCAAGTTTTTAATTTTCCTCCAGAAAGATTATCGAGCGTAAGTTGTCCTAGTTTACGTGGTACATCTCACATATTGAATTCTAACGCAGTTTTAAAATAATTAAAGACCATATAAATGTAATACATCACCCACGTCCGATTTGCCGACGACATAGTCACTATGGCAGAATCGATGGAGGACCTTGGTACTGTCAATGACCTCAACAGTGTTTACCAACGGCTGGGCCTTAAGATTAACATGGACAAGACGAAGATCAAGTCTAATGTCCATGTCACGCCTATATCTGTTGTTTCTGGGAGCACTGTTCTCAAGGTTCTTGACGAGTACGTTTACCTAGGACAGTTAATCCGGTAAGGTAAATCCAACTTCGACGTCAGCGAATCCAACTCGGATGGGCAGCGTTCGGGAAACTTCGGTATATCTTCTCGTCTGAAGATGATCTCTGAATGTTTGAAGACAAAAGTCTTCAATCAATGTGTCCCTGATTGAATCCATCTTCCATCACGTCCTGGTCTTGTAGGTCATCTCTGATTGAAGGTAAAAGTCTTCAATCAGAGATGACCTACAAAACCAAGACGTGCTCCTGCACTCCTGGTCGTATAAGGGAGCTCAAAGTCGCTCAGCGATCTATGGAGCCAGGCTATGCTCGGTATTTCTCTGCGTGAGAGTTCGCAACGAAGACATCCGCAATAGAACAAACGTAACCGACAAGGCTCAGAAGATTAGATGGTACTTCATGGCAGTCTGTGGGAGAGGCATATGTTTAGCAGTGGACTCAAACCGGCTGAAATGATGATGATAAAGTTTATTGCGAGTAAATCGTACGCAACCAAAATCAACCAAAATTTATCTGTTCACCTCAACATACAGCCGTTGTTTATTTACATCAAGGCAAAGCCCTAATCTCTGCTTAGAAGCTTAAAATTTTATCAGTCGATACCTTTCATGGGTATTACATAATATGTATAAATATTGAAGATTGATAAGGGTAAGAAAATATAAAACAAGTACAAAATTTTGTTGAAATTTTAACTGAAATATTGTTTTACGTTTGAAATCAGCGTAGCAAGTTTATTTTATATAGTTTGATATTAAATATTTATTGATTTTTATGGATTTAGTAAATTTTATATGCGTTGACTGTTTATATTTTTTTCAAATAAGAAATAAATAAAAATTCATTAACATAAAAAAAAATCAGTTTTAAAACTTTATTCAACTACTTCTTGTGATGGTAAAAATTCTAAACAGTGTTAAAAAAAGTCAAGAGAAGTTGTTCCAGTGTAGATAACTGTAATTATATTACATATTATATATCATTTTGCTTCTGAAATCTACCGTCACGGATAATTATATAAAACGAATTGAATAAATAATTAATAATAAAGTTGTTCTGGTAAACGAAATGTAATTTATTGGTGGAAAGTAGATAATTGTTAAACGCAATTTTTGAAAGGATTTTAAGAGCCCAAAAATATTTAACACACTCATAAAAATTTCAAAACATTACATTGCTCATGGCATTAGTCGCAAATGCAGCTGTGGAATTTAATTATGCTCCATTTAATTTTTTCTCAGTTACGGTCGCTTATCAATTCCTTTATCACGTATAAAAGGTTCACAGTTATTTTGATCATGTATTTGCGAGTAAGAAAGATGAAATGAAACAAGAGACTAAAAAACGACGCAATGTTTTTATTATTTATGCTAATTTTCGTTTCAGTCCAACAAATGGACGGAAGCTTGGGTAAGTTTAATATAATAAAAAAATTTAGAAATTTTATGAATCTACTTATACTATGTTTGTGTTTATTCAAAATTTTTGAGCGTGGCGAAAACCTATTCTCAGATCGGAAAAGTTTACCCTTGCGGTTGTTAAAATACCGCAATTTGATGCAACGAAACGCTTTTAGCCGAAGTGACGTAAGTAATAACTCAACTTGTTTTAATAATTGGCCATTAGTATGTAAATATTGGTCAAAAAAGCAAAAAGAAGATACAATTTTCAATTACTAAATTAAAATAAAAATAATATTTCATTTTACGTAAATAGGTACTTAGTCAAAAAAAGATTAACATGAACTAAACATTTTTCATTATTTTATTATTATTAGATGGACGTCAAGATTAAATGTGTAAAATGCTTGATTATCATTGCTTTTAACTAACAATTGATAAGTTTTTCGCCTTCTAAGTTCACTAACCTTATATATTAATTGATTGACTGTATATAAGTTATACACATTTGCAGCAACTTTCACAGCACTCTGAAACAGTTTATCTGGTCATATATTATGAAAGCTTGTGCGGAGATTCCCGGGATTTCTTCACAAAGCAGTTAACGGCAGCATATGAATTACTAGAGCCTTTTTTGGATGTGCGTTTAATACCATATGGAAAAGCAACCACAAGAATCGTAGATTCTGTTAGTATATATCGTTTAAAAACTATCTAAAACTATTATAATATTTCAATGCAAGGTATTTTATAACCTAATCAAATTTTACTTTTCTTATCAATATTAGCGATCAATCAAAAAAGAAACAAGAAATAGCCAAAAAAATAGGCACGCTATTCAATTACGATTAACTCTTGTTTCAGAATGAATATTACACTTTTAATTGTCACCACGGTCCGTCGGAATGTTATGGCAACAAGTTACACGCTTGCGCATTAGATATATACACTTTCCAAAACAGTGCTAACAAATTTAATGCATGTCTAATGGACACCGCACACAAGGCTCGGGGCTCAGACGATACTGCTGTGAATATCGTAAGCATAAAGTTAAATAATATGGTTCGATGATTTTAAATTAGGTTATTACGTGGTTTTAGAAATAAATTAACACCTTTATGTTAAATACCGAAGCGAATAATTAAACCAGGACCCCTCTCTCAGACTCTTTTTGGAAATAAGGTAAACTCAAATGTCAAACGAAAATGAAAACACTTGTCTTTAGAAATGTTCACACGCGAAATATATACCTAACAATAAAATAGTAGAGAATAAAAATGTTTTACTTCATAATTTTAAAACAGGTAAACGTACTAGATGTGACGTGTAGGGTGTAAAAAATTTAAATAACGAAAATTCATTGATAGTACGCAAACCCTAAAAATTTGTTAATACTAGTATTACTTACCCGTTTGTGTTTTATTGTACATATTTCAGTGTGGCGCTGCTTTAGCCCTAGACGTCAAAGGAATAATGGAATGCGCGAAAAATAAGACGGGAATTTTTTTGCTGAATTATTACGGGCAGCGAACGAAAATGACGAAATTTAAGTACGTCCCGCATATCCTGCTAAACGGGGTACATAACAATGGAACGAATCTGCTAGTAGACATTTGTGCAACACTAAAATATCCTCCTCCAGAATGCAAGATTTTTATGAAGTAAATGCCAACCTATAGACGAATAACGCAACTTACGCGGAATTTTATTATCCCTACTGTAATATCATAAATGTGAATGTAAGTTTGTTTGTTACGCTTTCACGCCAAAACTACTCAACTGAATATTATGAAACTTTGTACCCATATTCTTATAAGTATTAAAAAGGAAAAAGGACTCTTTTTATTTAAAAAAATATAAAAAAAAAAGATATTTAAGGGCTTCAACGTGAAGCCGCGGGTGAAAAGCTAGTGTCTATATAAAATAACATTTATTATATAACGTTTATTATATGTCTATATAACATTTATTTACACGATTCTCCTTTCCTTTAAACTTGAACTCGGAAAGCTCACTTTCAATTTCTTAAAATGTTTCTTTAAAAATCACTGCTATTCTTATTAGCTAGGATTTTAAAACTGCATCACAACAAATTTTTAAATTCGTCAGCTTATATTCTCAGAGTACCTATTTCATGCCATGAGAGAGGTCATTGCCTTTTATACGCCTGCAAATTTATATAAGCTTACAATACTGGCTAGACATCAAACCACTTTTAGCCAGGCGTTTTTATTTAGAAGACGCAAGTCATGCACAATTTTGCATTATGTGTTTTATTTTATAAAACACTGCACATGCGCCCCCAAAAAGGCATCACTTACATGTTGAATGGATTTTATATGCCAAATAATATTCGGCATAAATTTCTTTAAAAGATTTTAGATTATATAAACAAAACAAAGAAGTAGAATATAATTTAAAAAACTTTTTTTAGTTTTTTAACTGCGTTTCTGTGTAATTTTTTATTTTGATATAGTAAATACGAATCTAACGACACCTCTCACGCTATCCATCAAGCTGTTCAAGCTGCAGAGCGTGCCAAACAATATACATACATACATACACTACTATCAAAAAACATAACCTTCCTTCTGGCTCAGTGTCGTAAATATACCTAAAATATTTACTACTACTATTATACGATTTGCAACCCTCTCCAAAAAAGTGTAACGTACTAATTAAAAAACATACATTATTGGCCAAACTCACATTTTTGATATTTTTACTTTGCCTTAAAATATCGTGCTATGAACTTTTGCGGCCTGAAAGAGAAAAGCTCAAAATAAAATATTGAGCCCCGCGGTACTATGGGTAAACAAATATCTAGAAAGATAAACTTTCAGGAAAACAAATAGAAAACTTTTAAAATCAGAAATTTATTATTTACAAAACTGGCATTTATTTTGAAATCACACAAATGTTTTTATTATCGGTACAAATAAGCTCTACCAAATATCTACGTTTATTTCAAGAATCTTATAATAAATTCACACTTCAGATTAATATACTTTTCTATTTTCATTTCTTATAAGAATATTAGATACATTTCGTTTTTAAATTCGATTTAAATTTCATGACTTCCCGTATTATAGCCCCTTTTTAATAAAATTGCCTTGTCAATATTTAAAGGCGTTTCACATACATTATAAATAATTTTATTAAGTACCACGTTTAGTGGTTTCTAAGCATTTAAATATTTAAAATGCTCTACACCAGGTTCGTAATTCAAATTATTTGTGACAAGACGAATAAAAATTGCGTCGAACTTGTTACAATGATTCATTACGAAAATATTTCAGATATTCATTACTTATGACTAAGAGAACAGAGCTGTTCCCGCTCGTAAATTATTACGACTCTTTGAAAGAAGAAACAATTAATTTTTAACCTTCTGCTAACCTGTATACCGGGAAAACTTGTTATTATTCCGCTTATTCTTATTAAACGCTATTATCAATAATACACTTTATCTATTACTTGATCAGAGTTCTTGTACAATTAGATAACGTAAGTAAATGCGTTTAAGATAACCATGAATCGCAAAATATTTATTGTACTCTTATAGATCCGATTATTAGTATTTTACGTTAAAATTGTACCGTTCAAACTTCGTTTATCTTTAACTAATCCATAATCATTCCAAGTTATTTAATATTGTAATAAATTTGGCTGAAGAGATATTGCAATGAAAGCAATGCTTGACTGCTAACATTTCCTTCTGATTTAAAAAGTACATTCTGGCCCCGCGGGCATCGCGGTAATTAATTCTTGTAACTGCTTGAACAATGTTACAAATACTCCGAGGGCCAATTATTTCAGCTACAGTCTTAGCGCAATAGTCGGATGGACGCTAGCAACTTAACAGAACGGTGATAGTAATTCTTAGTTAATTATTTGCACTCCTGGGGATACCAGGGTGCCATTAACTATAATAAAATTATTCTGAGAACATATTTCTTAGAAAGTGCGCATAATGTTTACAAAACATTTTTGCCATACGCGCTAGAAGTTAATAGTGCTATTAAACAGTGTCATTATCCTCACCGATGCTGATGATCGACAACACAGAAAATAATGTTGTAATTTAAATATGAAAACCTGTGAAATCACTTTCAGTATCTTCTCACAACATGATTTTAACATTAAATGTTAACGTAACTGTTTCAGTTTAACTCTTTAAATTGGAAAACAGCAATAATGAATAACTATAAGAAAACTTTTTATAAACTAATGAGAGAATCAAATTTTATTATTTACTTAAACTTTAAACATTTATATAAACGACAATCACAAATAAATAATTTAAGTTAAGTTCGAATCTTCATGTATCATCATCAATACTCGTAAGATTGATAGGAATATTAAAAAAGTGGAATTTAAATTAATTGGTGAAAGCACTGAACTATAATTGAGTTCCACCCGTAAATTTCGTACATCTCTGTAGTATCCGCTTATTACCAATTTCAAATCACACGTGTATTAAGCATTATATCGACATGACAATTTTATTTATATTTTGAGTACCTAGCTTAATACTTCCGAAGCTAAGTATGTTATCGTCATTCATTCGTCATATTTTGAGGATGTTATTGAATTTCAGGGATGGAAACAAAGGCTTTTGTTTTTCTTTTGCTTATGAACGCTTTAAGCCTATATTTCAATATGAATCTAAACATTTTTTGTTTCAATTTAGATAATCATCGACTTGGGACATCTTAGGTTCTAGCACACAACAAGACGATTAAAGTTTATAGGCAGGTACTCTCAGTTCTCAAAAGTGAAAAACATTATCATAATATGGGCGCATTCAATGTAAGCTATTCCTGTTAACATTTTTATTAACACGCAAGGCTTGTCAAAGCCCGTATAAAAATATTAATGTATCCGCATTGCGAAGCGCCCGCCACGGATATGCATTTAAAAGGTACGCAACTATGAAGTACTTTCTATTAAAGTAATGTATGCGTGGAGCGAAATGACTTAGATATTTTTAATATAAATTAAAAACATTTTGTTATAATCTCCAAACCCACTCTTTGTCAGTTATAACTATTTCAAAGTAGACTGTTATCGTCTAACAATTTCAAATATTCTGTCATAAGTAAAGTGGCGATCTGGTGATGTTTTATTTTGAACGCAATGTGGCACTAAAAGTACAAATTAAGGTTAAATTGATAATTGAGTCATTGGTACAAAGAAAATGCCTACGAGGAAAAGTACTTGTAAGTATACAAAATGCGACCTTTATGTTTTGTTTGATTCAGTGAGCAGTTTACCAAGTGATGGCTCATTAGTCACGTTAGCTAGACACCTTGACAACCCGGTAGAAATTTGAAGCGCCCGCCGCAACACTTATGTATTAGGTGCTTACCTACTGCGTTCTTGATACGGAGCTATATAAACGTTCGTAACACAGGTAACGTAATATCTCTACGCTGTGTCGATAAGATCATCATATTACGATAAGTAACTCAAACGAAATATTTTTTCCTAATTACGATCAAAGCTCACTTAAAGAACTATAAACGATCAATGTCACTATCCGAAAAAAAAAAACGTACAAATTTTTAAAATATTTGTTTATGTTGTTTACAATTTATGTTTACAAGGTCATCTTTATAAGCGGCTTGTATAATATAAAATTAAATTCTAATTATTTTGTAGCATACCTTAGATATACCTACATTAGTATTTGGCAATGACTGTTAGTACGTAAAAATGTTTTTAACGTGTTTGTAATGTATTACTGTATCATCAGATGTACGTATACTGCTACTTGAAATAAATTTTAAAAAAGAAACTTTAATAAAAAATTTATTTCCAGCCAGCCTACTTTTATCTTCACGCTTCTTGTATATAATAATAATCCTAGTATAGTGTGTACATATTAGTAACAAATATGCCTACCCGCATACCACAACCGCAGATCCGCATAGATTATGTGCACATGAATTATTGTATGAGTTATATTAATAATATAATTTTATTAACTTCAGCAAATAATTTTATTTTATTATTAGTCGACCAGATACTACGGGTTTACAAAACGTCTTTAATCAAGTATAATAATAGGATATAAAAAGTCACGAACAATTGTTCTAAAATTGTATGTATGAAATGAACATGATGTTCATTTCATAACGTGGGCTAAATCCACTACTGAATATAACGCCCGGTTTCTGAAACGCTGATCATCGTAGAAATTAACTAATCAGTTGCCAATTGAAGCTGTCTTTGAATTGATCATTCTGATCATTAAGAAGATTATTCTGGTCAATTCAAGAGTTCAAGACTTTTGGCAGCTCTAATGAAATTGACAAGCCATTTGACAGCTGATCACTGTTTTAGAAACCGGGCGTTAATCTCTTAAGAAAACCGCAGCAAAGCTTAATCCTGAGCATATTGCATAGATTCACATATTGCGGGGAACCTTCGGATTCCACAACTGCCGGTCTTCTTTCCATCTACCTGTAGTCCAACACTACGTGTTTATACGAGATTTGTTTTGAACCCTAATGCACCAAGGGCAAGTGTCGATATTTTGTGTATG